GTTGCAAAGAAACATTCATAGATGCTTTAAGTCAGGACATCTGATACTGAAGACACATCAGTGTAATAAAGATAACAAATATCAATCCTAACATAGCTAACCCTTTGAGTTAAATGAAAAGTAAACGTCTATGAAAAAAAAATTACACACTTGGGGAATACAAAAAGAAATAGATGATGCTGGTATCTTTATTAAAGTGAATTAATGATAACGGATGAATCCCCCTCATGTATGAGTCATACATTAATAGTAGTCAAATTTTACGCATGAAAATTGGTAGTGCATGGAAAATAGCATATTGTCAATATTTCATAAACTGCCCGAAGTTTCACAAATTGTGTTTTCAGAGGAGCTTATGTCTTCATAAGAGGAGCCAAGCTCCCCCTGGCTCCTTTGTTGTTTACACCCTGCTTGATAGTCACAAATCAGGTTTGTCAGGATGTTTCTTGTAAATGCTAAACAAAGACATTTTACTGATCAGGGGTGTGTTTCATACTAAAGCATTGCATTGTATAGCAATATCAGAGTCAGGATCTGTAGCAGTGCCATTTATGGCTTATGTGCCAACACAGTGATTTCATTACCAGCAATGAAGAACCCTATGTGTTTAGATTACCATTGACACATTTCAGGAACCAAGCCTAGGCTGAGGCCACCATCACTAAATATAAAAATGCAAACCAGCAGTTGAATTTGTTTTCATATGATCTACAAGTACATAAATAGAAAACAGCTGAATTTTTTTTTTCAAATTTTAATTTTCTGGTTTAGCAGTCAGTCAATTTATAAATGAAAGGTCTATTTGGTAGCCAGTTGAATTTTCTTTGTAATTTATATTTTATTTTAACAGATATTTGCTCTCCAGTAAGAACTATTTTTCAAATAATTAAATTAAATAACACAAGGACTCTCCAGTAAGAAACTCATACAAAGGAATAACCAAATTTGGCATTCAATGTATGCATTCAATTTGAATAGAAATTAATTTTCCTTGTCTTTATTTTGATAGCAGTGATGTATTTTTAAATCTGGAAATAATAATGAAATTTGTTTTAATGGATTTTACTTTTAGTTGTAAATGGGTTTATGCATGGATTTTGTCCTACAACATGCGAACCCCCAAAAAACCATTCATGAAATTCATTGAATGGTTTCAATTTAATATTGTCAGCATTAGACTTCCATAACAACATTTCAAAACATTAATGACCGTTTGTAAATGCAGGTTAATTTGACACAATCTTTTATATTTACAAACTTGTCTTCTGTTTACCTGTACACTCATACATTGCAGATTGATCACTGCTCATATACTTATGCCACTTTTGTATGTGCCTCCATACATTTGGATTATTTTGGAGGAAATGTTACACAGCAACAGAGGGTCTTGACACTATACACTCTTGCATTTGAGTGTCTGTCTCTGCACAAACATTTTGTCTGTTCTAATCACACATATAAACACACATATCTGTTCATTTATAAGAATAGAATAATGGACATATTGTGAATATAGTGATTCAATAAAACATGCATACCAAAATAAGTGGTATTAATATTAAAGAAAAAGACATCTCACTATCATCCTGATAATCAACATGAACATCATAATAATCTACATCTCCAGCTTTGCAGTGACTTTCATTGGTAAGATCCTCAGTGGCATTGTAGTTAGAGTGTTAATGAAGGGAAACAGTCTCTCACTGAAAGTGTGTGAGAAAGTATAAATGATTGTGTTAGTATCTGGATCAGAGAATGACAGCTTTCCTCTATTCCAGTCCAGATGCACTCTGATCCTCCTGATCGGTTTCCTCACTGAGAGAGCTTTATCTGTAAGTGATGGAGAGTATGCTATGTATTTATCATGGCGGAACCATATTTCCCAGTATCCGGCCAGAATCTCTCCCTTCCTTGGAACATCCTCTGCTATCACACCCACTGCCCAGTTTTCATCATCTCTAACCTCAACATCCCAGCTGTGAGTCCCTGAGTTAAAGCCCTC